AAAATATACTGAAACCAAGTATAAGCAAATCCTTCATAAAAAGGTTGATGCACAGGGTTTGGTCTAAATTGTTCAATAAAAGAACACACTCCAAATAAAAGGAACATGATGAAGCCAAAAAAATGTCTGGCTGGGAGTGCGTGGTGGGAGACAGCTCAGTCAAGAATTCGCCTAGTCCGTGAGAAGCAAAAATGGTAGCTCGCCATGAAACTCGTGCCGATAGGCAAGCCTTCCTGAGCCGCTTGAACAACGTACAAAGTGATGAAGATCGAGTGCGTCTTTCTAGGGAGCACAAGCAGTTTCTTAACGGCGAACGCTCCACGGACGCCGACTTCGCGACTGCACCCCAAACGCCACGACTAGCACGGGTCCTGAGACCACCTCCTATGGGCAAAGACGCGGCATACATGCTAGCAAACAAGCGCTTAGCGTCGGAGATGCGCAAGGCTATTGCCGCGAAGACCGTAGCTGGTTCGGGGAAGAAGGCCATTGAGAAAAAGAAGGAGAAAGAGGAAGACGAGGCGTGGGCACCGGGCGACGACGAAGCTGATGACGATAACGATGACAGCGTTTTCGAGGAGGCGGGGTTGAATGATGAAGATTCTGAAGCAGAGGATGTGGGCCAGAAAGGTACAACATGATCGACATACAACATCTTGCGAATAAGATATTTTGACGGAGCTATTGTTGTTATGTGTGATGATAGTTTCAAAGACAGCAGCAAAAACGAAAGCAGCAGCGAAAAATTTGACAGCCAAGATAACCTCCAAGAAGCCCCGCAAGAGGAGTTCTCGTACCCTCGCAAAAGATGCAAGAATCGCAGAGGCAGCAGCTAAAAAGTGTGCAGCAGCGAAGAAGCGGCAAGATCGGGCAAGCGCTGCACAACGTGCTGGGAAAGACGCCAAGGAAGCCGCCCTGTTACGACTTGGAGCTGCTACAAACAAGAAACGCAATGCTGGCAATGAAGATGTATCGAAGCGCCGGACAAGCCTGCATGAGCCTTTGCCATTGGGTGGCATGGATAGGTATGTACAACTTGTTTGTATACAACATGTTTTTCATCGACTTGCGGAACTGATGTTGTTTGTGGACTACGTTGTACCTCAAGTTCAGAGCGAAGCGAAGTCCCTAGTGTAGATATCCCTGCAGCTCTACCACCACCAGATGCCGTTCCACCACCGGTGCTGGATGACGAGACGACTGCTACGGATGATCACGGTTTGTACGTACAACTTATCATTCATGCGTCCATGTACAACATCTCACTGACGTTGGTATGTACAACATGATGTTGATGTTGTATGTAGTGACGGTTCAAATATCGATGGGTTAGACCCTAACTTCAATGATTTAGAGGCGCTGAACTCGGATTGTGACGACGATGAAGACGAAATGACCTTTGATGAAAGCGTGGCGAACAATGACCCTGATGCTCCTGATGAAATTCCAGTAGGCGCAAATGATGCGACTATTGAAGATCCTGTTGGCACTACTGTATTGCAAGATGAGCCTACGTCTGTGGCAGACGATGGAGAAACTGAGTGGCCTGTGCTAAATCAAGACGAGATGGTGGGATTTGTAAAAAACGAAGCTGCATTAGCGAGAATGCGAAGAAGCGGTTGGTATCTCGGTACGAATGCTCAATACCAACCCAAGTGAAAATTTGATTAACTAATTTGAATTTGTCTTTCTTACAGCTCCTGATGAGTTTCCTCCAGATCAACACTATCCTGGGTTGTACAATGGTGTCACTGGGCCGACAGATGAACTCAAGGCATTGGCAGACTCCCCCCTCGATCTGTTTCTCTATTTCATGCCACGAACACTGTGGGAGACTATCGCACAGCAGTCTACGTTGTATCACGAACAGCATTTGGTTGAAAGAGTAGAGAGGATGTTTGAGAAGCAGCGGGTAGCTGGCAGAAAAACAAGAGAGGAGTTCATGGAACAAGAGGCGAGGCACGGAGATATCAAACCACACGAAATTGTTGTACTGCTGGGTCTCCTTATTGCCCGTATGATCAATCCGCAGCGGCGCCACTTCTACGATCACTGGTCTACTACTTCCGTTGGTGCTATTCCTGCTGGAACCTTTGGAAAATTCATGAAGAGAAACCGCTTCACGTACATCCTTTCGAACCTCCACTTCACGGACAATGCAGATGAACGGGCAGGCCAAGACAGAGCTTGGAAAATTAGGTCAGTTGTAGATACTCTACAACTGACCTTCAAAGCTGGGTTCATAGCTCCAGCCGTCATCGCGTTCGATGAGGCGATGATCCCCCTCCAGAATCAACACAATCCGACCCGGCAGTACGTTGCGAACAAGCCCCACAAATGGGGAACTAAACTCTTCATGACGTGCTGCGCCCAAACTTCATACTGCCTACGGTAAGTCATTTTGCAGCTACGTAAACATGTTGTATCTGACACGTTGTATTCTACAACATGAACCACATTCAGGATCGAAGTCTACTGCGGAAAAGCGCAACACAGACATGAAATCGGAAATGTCCCTGAATCTGTTCAGTCTGTTGACCACAACACAGGACCAGCAGCAGTCATGAGGAATCTGGATGCTGTCCTACCTCCGCCATCCGATGGTGTATATCACTTGATAGTAACTGATCGGTTTTACACATC